GAGGAGGGGTGGGAGATCTCGGTCCCCTGCCAGTCCCTCTGTGCAGCCCCCATGACAGAGCCGGGGCTTTGAAACCCATGGGAAGACCCCAAATCTAGGGGTCCCATTGCCCCATCCTTCTCCTGCCCTTTCCTTCTCCTCACTCCAGGTCCCAGCACAGGATGAAACCTGAGACTGGAGCAAACGGCATCCGAAGCAACCCCCGCCCCATCCCCGCAGCTGTGGGAATGCAGCGCCTTTGTCACGGGCTAATTTTGGCTCCTCTGTGCTCCGAAAACAATCCCAAGGCATCCGGGAGGAAAGATGCTGGAGGCCTGGCCTCGTGGGGGCTTTTCCTTATAAAGGTCTAACGGGGCTGGTTAAAGCCTCCTCCTCCTGCTCGGGGGTGAGAGCAGATCCTCTGCGCTGGCTTCGGAGCCAGGGAAGGGTCCTTGCAGGGGTCCCGGGGGTGCGCTGGATGCAAGGGAGTTTTCCCCTGCCCACTGGGACTTGCCTGGTGCAATTCACACGAGGATGGCACTGCCACTGCTACTGTCACCGATCTCTCAGCAGCTCCTGCTGGTGTCCAGGCAGGGAAGAAGCCGGGAGGGCTCTGCAGGATGGGGCTGTCCGTGCTCCCCACCACGGGAGCTGCCCCACTCCTGCAGCTGCGTGTCCCTCCCGGACATAAAAGCCCCAGGATTAACATGCCAGGCATTGTCCCTGCTGGGCCCCACGTTGGGAATTGTTTGCTCCTAAATTTGTCTCTAAAAATATCCAGGGGAACAGGTGTTGCCTGCCCTGCAGTCCTTGTCATGCAAAGGGACACTGGGCAAGGGGCTTTGTGGGGAGCAGTGGGGACAGACAACAGCTTTTTCACTGCTTTTCATGGGGAAAACCTCAGGGCCTGTGGGAGCTGGGAGCTGCTTGAGCATGCCAAGCTGTAGTGCTGTGCTGGGTGAGTGGGGCTGGTCTCTCTCCTTAAAGAAAGGACTGCACCTTCCTTGGTCCCCACCCCAGCTGGCCTGAAGTGTGACTCCACATTTGCTGATTTACACCATCACCCCTCAGCAATGCAGCCTGGCCTGGTGAGCTTCACTGCCCTGCTCTGGTGACTCTGGTGACTCTGGTGGCTCCCAGGAAGCCCCTTGGCCAACGCTGTCCTGTGTGTGCCCTGTTGTGCAGGGGTCAGCACCTCAGCAGCTCCCAGCCTGTTCACACCCCTCTGCCCTGCTTTTTGCAGCATCTCTGGAGCTTTGTCACACTGCACAGATACAAGGCAGAGGTGGCAGGAGGATCCAGCCCATCCCCATGGCATCACCAGCCTGAGCTTGTCTCTGTGTCCCCAACAACTCATGTGTGAGCAGATGCTGAGCTGGGACATTCCAGTGCCCAAAGGGGATCCAAGAGAGCTGGGCAGGGACTTGGGACAAGGGATGGAGGGAAAGGAAAAGGGAAATGGCTTCCCACTGACATAGGGCAGGGTTAGATGGGAAAGTGGGGAGAAATTCTTCCCTGTGAAAGTGGTGAGGCCCTGGCACAGGACTCCAGGATGCACAGGACTGCCCCATTCCTGGAAGTGTCCGGGGCCAGGCTGGATGGGGCTTGGAGAAACCTGGGATAGTGGGAGGTGTCCCTGCCCATGGCAGGGGTGGGACTGGATGATCTTTAAGGTCTCTTCCCACCTAAACCATTCTGGGATGATTCCCATGCAAACAGCCCTGAAATTCTCTGAACCATAGGGGCTTGTGGGTGTCCTGGGAGTGCAGGGACACACGGGTGACCTGTGTGTGTCCCTGTGTTCCAGGCGTGCCCCAGGTGTGAGCAGCAGTCCCAGCACACCCAAGGCTGCAGCAGATGCCTGCAGAGGAGGGGATTTGTGCTATTTTTACCGACCACTTGCAGGCAGGGCTGGGATTCAATACCCACCCCCCAGCCACAGCCCCAGCAGAGCACGGCTGTCCTGAGGCCAGGCGTCACCTCCCTGCTGCACAGCCAGGTAAGACACTGCCACTGGCCCGTGTCCCCCTCTGGGTGTGCTGGTGGTGACATGGGCATGAGACCCCCAGCACTTGCATGTGACAGAGAGAAACCCCTAGCACGTGAATTTACCTGAATTTCTTCCCCTCTCTGAGGTGGATCAGACATTTCCTCTGCTCTTGGAGAGAGGAGTGGTGAGGCTGTAAGGGGGACAAAGACTTTGGAGTTGATATTTGCCTGGTTTTTTTTCCAAAACGTGGCTAACAGGACTGTTTGAGGAGCACTTGCCCAAGAGTTCCATCCTGGCTCACTGGTGGGAGGTTCAGGATGAGAACAGTGTGTGGAGCTGGGATAGCTGGGAGAGTGCTTGTAGTTTGTCTCCAACATCCTGGAATGGGGGAAGATGTCAGGATTCACTGTGTTTGGGTTTATGGGATTATTTCTTTTAAGGATTTACATGATCCAGTGGTTCAATAAGCTTTATAAGCTTTTTACAGCTGGGACAGTGCCAATAGTGCAGAATTAGCTTGGCCAGATCCTCTCGTCCCCATCAGGGAGCCAAGTCTCTCATGGATGGTCCAGATGCAGCTGGAGTCCAAAAGTCCTGGCACTGGGGATTGCTGGAGATGTCTCACTGGCACAGCTTAGTCCCTGCTGTTGTTTGGGAAGCGAATTTAGGACTGTTTGGCCCTAAAATGTGACTGACCTTGGTAGAGGTCATGAGCTCGAGGTGTGGTGTGGATCCCACCCCAAGGATTGCTGGAATTCTGGGCTGTGCTCCAGCAGGGTACAATGGAAACGCTGAGAGGCTGTGCCCAGCCCTCGTCAGCTCCAGGGACAGAAAGGCTCCTCTGCCACCCCCGAAATAAACTGGAGGGCAGCAGCTGGGACCCAGCCTGCTCAAGGCACCGGTACTTCTTGGTGTCCTCTGGAATGTTTGTCACAGCACCAAAAACCTCCACAAAGGCAGGGAGGGATCTGTCTGATGTGGTTTGAGGACAAAGAAATTTCTGTTCTTTGGATTTTTCCTTGTTAATCCAGGGATCTGGACTGGGAAGCTCTGGGGGAGATGATTCCTGCTGGGATTTTAATACATTCTACCCCCCCTCCCTCCAAATTCCATTTATTCAGGACATGTCTCTGGCTGAGCTGTAGGGGCATGGGAAGGGAACAGGGACAAGGGGACAGAGCCAGGAGGTGCCCTGAGATTTGCTTGGCACAGGCTCCACACAAACCTGGGAGCAGCTGTTTGAGACCAGCTTTTCATTTCCCCCAGCATGAATCTTTGGGGTCTAAAGCAGCTTCCAAATTTCAAAATTTCAGGGGGGATGCAAAAAGATCAAGGCAAAAAAATCCCAGCTTGTCCACTTGACTCCTGGAAAATGCTGTTTGAGGGGAAAAAAAAAAAATTAAAAAATTAAAAAGGATTGATATTTTCCCCCAAGCATTTTCCTGCTACTTGGGCTCACAGGGTACCCTGGCTGCTCAGCACAGGAGGGGTCAGTGGGGTCAGAGCAGGGCCAGGGGAGCAGCATGGGCTGGAGCAGCTGCCAGGGCTTGGGATTACCAGGCAAATGTAAAATAGGAAACACTGAGTGTTTCACCTGGAATGTGGCTGCAGAAGGAACCTGCTCGGCTGTGGACACTGACTTAGAGAATCTCAGAATTATTTGGGTTGGGAGGGACCTTAAAGCCCATCCAGTCCCACTCCTGCCATGGGCAGGGACACCTTCCTCTATCCCAGGTTGCTTCAAGCCCTGTCCAGTCTGGCTTCCAGGGATGGGGCATCCACAGCTTCTCTGGATACCCTGTGCCAGGGCCTCACGGACAAGAATTCCTTCCCAATATCCCATCTAACCCTGTCCTCTGGCAGTAGGAAGACATTCTCTTTGTCCTGTCCCTCCATCCCTTGTCCCAGAGTTCCTCTCCTGCTCTCTTGGAGCCCCTTTAGGTACTGGAAGGGGCTCTCAGCTCTCCCTGGATCCTTCTTTTCTCTAGACTGAACACCCCCAGCTCTCCCAGCCTGGTTCCAGAGCAGAGCTGTTGCCCTTTGCTGTGGCACTCCCCGGATGGGTTTTGGCTCTCCCATCCCTGCTGTTGCCCACGGGAGCTGCAGAACAAGACTCCCTGAGCCGACACAATGGGGGAGCCCCCGAGGCACCCCCGTTTCTCCTCAGATTTCCAGCCTCCATCCCTTGCCCCGAGCTGGGGCGGGCGACAGCCGGCAGGGGAAGAGCTCGAAGCTTGGGAAAAGCCCCGAGGAGCAGGAGGCCGAGCCCTGCAGGGCCGGCTGGCGGCACGCTGGAGCTTGCCCGGGATGCAGTCGGGTTTTCCTGGAGCCCGGGACTCGTCCCGTGTTTCACAGGGGCTGGAGCTGCGGAGCTGCTTCCCTGGGCCGACAGCGCGGGGCAGCACCGCACCTCGGCATGGCTCCCTCGCTGCCTCCTGCTCCGTGTGCGTTTGGGATTGGCACCTTTGTCCCAGCCTCTCTCCCTTTCTTTGGCAGGGAACAGCGCACGCCGCGATGCCAGAGCCGTGAGTACCTGCAGACCCCTCGGATCCCGTAAAGCCTCGCCCGGCTGCACTTGTCCCTTTGGGGAGGATCAACTACCCTGCCCCAGACCTCTGTGCCATTCCCCTTGCAAAAACTGTCCTTAAAGGCAAATTGTTCACTCTTTCAATGTCCCAGTTCAAATCTCGGGGCTTTCCTAGATCCCAAAATGCGGATCTGAGGGGGGCAGCACCTCTGGATTTGCCGTGAAGCTCTCTGTAGCACATTGTACAAATCCAGCACATTCCCTGGTGAGCAGAGAAGGGAGAAAGTCCCTGTAAAGCTTTCCTGGAGCATGACCTGGGGATGTCCCAACGCTGTGAACCTGGGCAGGTCCAGGCATCCTGACCCAGCTGAAGTGGGGGAATGAGGGTGTCTGAACCGCAGGGACTGAGCTGGGGTTGGCACGATGGGCACAGTGCCAGCTCACCTGTCACGCCTGAGTGACATTTTGGCTTTCTTAGCTGTGGCCCTGAGCTCCCGCTGCATTTCCAGAGGGCACCTTCATCTCAGACCTGGCTCACATGCTGGTGGCAGCTGTGAGACACAGAAATAAGGAACCAACTACAACAACATGAGATGCTTTCCTTGACTGTCCCCTCTTTTTTTACTCTCATTCTTTGATGCCCTGTTCTCTTCTCTTGTTTTTTCTGCTCCTCCCTGGCTGCTCACCTGCCTGCAGAGAGGTAAGAGCTTTCCCTTTGGGAGAAAATCTTGGTGCTGCTCTGCATTTGCTGTGTGTTTGTTTTCAAAGGGTGTTTTCTTTCCCTTGCCTTTCCCCTAGAGAAAATCCAAGATCACAGCCTCACGCAAACTCTTGTTGAAGGTGAGTCCCGAGGGCTGGAAACTCCCTGGGGTTTGTCTTGCTGGGGGAGAGGAGCCAGGTTGGAGTGTGGGGTCGGTGGGACAGGCACGAGGAGCAGCTCAAGGATGGGCTGTGGGGAGCAGCTCCCACCCCACCTTTCTCTTCTCACTCATGTGGGATTTGTGGTCCAAACAAACCTCCTCTTCACTGAGGTGGGGAGAGACCCCCATACCTTCAGCTCTGAAGCCTCAGCCCATTTATGCTCAGCACAAGCCTGGGAGCTCCCCGGGCTCTGGTTTGGGATAAACATTCCCTGCCCCAGCAGAGCCCACGTCAGCACCCAGCGGGACCACGGCCCCCACAGCCCCCAGGGCCCCACACCAAAGCTCTGGGGAGGCTTTGATGTGTGTTTGGGGACAGCAGGGATTGGCACACCAGACTGTCCCATCCTACAGACGTGGTGTGAGTGGCTCAGAGGGAACCACAGGCCTGTTCAGTTCTCACTTCTGCCATTTCCTTGTACTCACAGAGTTTGATGCTGGCCAAAGCCAAGGAGGAGTGGGATCAGGAGATTGTGGACAAGCAGGCAGAGAAGGAGAGGTACCTGTCTGAGCGGGTCACTCCACTGCACACCAGTGGGCTCTCCTTGAGCCAGCTCCAGGTATTCCTCAGGCCCGAGGGTGCAGCGAGCTCCTTGGGAGCATGGAGGGGCCTCACTCACTGCTCTCCTGTTTTCTTGGCCCCAGGACCTGTGCAGGGAGCTGCACGAGAAGGTGGAAATTGTGGATGAGGAGAGATACGACATTGAAGCGAAATGCAACCATAACACCCGAGAGGTAGGAGGGAGGACGGGCTGGTTCCTTCTGGAAACTCCCTCCCAGTGACAGCTCTGGCCTCAGTGGGGATGTGTCATGGACCAGGCTGAGCTGGGATATGGGACAGACACCAGGGTTTTCTCAGGGCTGGTGTTTACTCTGCAAGGCACTGCTCAGAGCGAGGTTCATCCTTGCCCAAGGGAACCCAAACTGTCCTCAGGGTCCACGGAGAGGTTCCTCACTCTCCTGCTCAGCCCTGTGAGTCTGAGAGCTTCTCGTGGTACAGCTGCCAGCCGAGCAGGCTGGGCCCAGCCCATGGCCCAGCTCTGGGCCTGGGTGAGCAGAGCTCAGTGGGGATGGTCCTGCAGGAGAGGTGCAGACCCCTCTGGGGCTCGGTGCTGGCAGAGCCTACTGCTTCCCACAGGGGCTCTTTGTGCAAGGCAGCCCAGCAGTGACCTCCCACTCCTCCTCCTCCCCTGCTCCTGCAGATTAAAGATCTGAAAATCAAAGTTCTTGATCTCCGAGGGAAGTTCAAGCGCCCTCCCCTGCGCCGGGTTCGTGTCTCGGCCGATGCCATGCTCAGGGCTCTGCTGGGCTCCAAGCACAAGGTGTCCATGGATCTCAGGGCCAACCTGAAGTCTGTCAAGAAGGAGGACACAGAGAAGGTGGGTGACTCCTCTGGAGGCTGGAGATGGACACACTTCTAGGGGTGCCCTTGCCCTTCTCCAGGGTACCCTTTGTTCACCCCTTATCAGCCTTGGAAAGACCTTGTGAGGCCCTTCCCATCGTGGGGTGTTGTGAGACCATGTAGGACCAGTTTGACTGGGCTAGGCAACTGGTGGATGGTAACATGTGAGATTTAGGGCTGTGTCCATGGTGCTCTTCCCTCCCAGAGTGTGTGGGGTCTCTCACCTGGGCCCCCTTGGCACCACTGCTGAGCTGCACATACAGAGTCTGATCTTTGATCTTGTAGGGAACCAGGAGAGCTCCTTTGGGCACAATCACACCCAGAAAACTCCCAGGGAACTCCCAGACCCAGATTAGATAAGACAGAGCAGCCCAGCACTTGGCCTGAGATAAATGGCTTAGTTCCCACCAGCTTGGCAGGGGTATGAGAAGGGAAAGTCTCAAAGCCAGCAATGCCCAAACCTGCCTGGGGTGTGCAGATGCCCCAGCATGTGCAGTTGTGCCTTATCCCCAGGCACAGCTGGGGATCCCCTCTCCCCAAAGTGGTTTCACCACCTCGTTCCAGCTAGTAGGTTGAATGAGAATTGGATGAGAATCTCAACTTTCAGTTGTTTTTCCTTTGTCCCCCCATTGTGGTATAGCACTTTTCCAGCCCTTTCCTTTGAGTGGAACCTGTGCTTACAGCCCTGGGCCCCAGGTGGAGAAGGGATCTGGGTTTGTTCTAGATGTGGTGAGATGGTGTTGGGGCACAGCTTGTAATCTACGAATGCTGGGGGTTGGCAGAGCAGATACCTGGGCTCCCAGAGCTGCTGTCACCTGCCCAGAGCTGCTGTCACCTCCCCTGTCTGCTCTGGAAGTGTCTGCCAGGCTCCCACTGTCACACCAACAATCCCAGTCCCCACCAAAGGCTCACAGAAGATGGAGGTGGGAGGGCAATGCAGGAAGTGCTTTTACTTCAGTAAAAACATTTGCCTCATTGTGCTGGTGTAAACCCAAAGTCCAACGGGGTTTCTTCCTCCTAAAGAAATTTTTCTGGGCTTATTGAGCCTTCTGGTGCATGAATGCAAGTTGGCCAGGCTTTGAGGAGGGGTGTATCCACATGGACCCAGACCTCCCTGTGGAGATCAGGCCGCTGTTTGCCATCCCCCCAGACAGCTCCTTGTGCAGAGACACATGGCAGAGAAACAGGGGCAGCTGTGTCCCCCAGCTGAGGGCCCTGTACAGGGGGAGGGACAAGGCAGGGCTGCCAGTCCCTCATCCCCCAGCCTTGTCCCAGTCCCTCACCCCCCAGCCCTGTCCCAGTCCCTCATTCCCCAGTCCTGTCCCAGTCCCTCATCCCCCCACCCTGTTCCAGCCCCTCATCCCCTATTTCTGTCCCAGTTCCTCATCCCCTATTCTTGTCCCAGTCCCAGCCCCTCATTCCCCAGCCCTGTCCCAGCACCTCATTCCCCAGCCTCTCACCCCCCAGCCCTGTCCCTCCCACAGGAACGCCCTGTGGAAGTGGGTGACTGGCGCAAGAATGTGGAGGCCATGTCGGGCATGGAGGGGAGGAAGAAGATGTTCGATGCTGCCAAGTCCCCCACGGGGCAGTGAGAGGTAGGGCCGGGTCCTGATCCCCCTCTGCTCCCTCATCCTCCTGGGCTGTGCTTGGAGAGACCCAGAAATGCCCCACCCCTACAAAAAAAGGCCCATCCCCATGTCCCACCCTACAGGCTGGGGGTCTGTCCCACACCTCCCTGCAGTGAGGTCCCTGCCAGCCCCTCTGCTCCTCCTCTGGGTGCTCCCCTCTGACTGTGCTGCCCATGCCACCCTCATCCTGTGGGCATTGCTGGCATCTTCAGGCTGCTGGCAGTGCCCAAAGCCGCCCCTCTGCCCCTCTGCTGTTTCTTTCCCACAGGAGCAATGGGAAGAAGACCATCCCCATCCCTGCTGCCAGCCTGCCCTTGCTGCTCCTCTGTCCCTTTGTGCCCTTCCCTGAATTCCCACTGAGCTGAAACACAAGGACAATGGTGTGGGAAGGAGACCTGAGCTTTTTCCTTCCAGCAGTGCCCTCAACCCTGCTCCTGCACAGCATCCCCCCTTCATCAGCCACACAGGCCCTGCTGTCCCCAAGGGCCACTGGCCACCCATCCCATCCCAGCCCTTCAGAGATGCCCCAGAGGCAGCTGCTGCTCCCCCTATGCCCCATGCCAGCAGCCCAGCCCGAGATGTGTCACCCCAAGATGTCCCTGTGTGTATTAAAGGACTGTCCTGGGCTGCGGTCGTGTGGGCTCATCATTGGGAGAACTCTGCCCAGGGCCAGGTCACCCTGCAATGTCCCCATGATGGCACTCAGACACCACTCTGGGGTCACACAGGCTTTGGGCTTATCCCTTACAGCCCCAGGTTGCTCCTTGTGTCCCACCAGCTCTGCTGAGGCCCCTGGCCCCGTTCAGGGCCACCCTTGCTGAGCCTCAGGGATGCAGCACCAAGGGTGAATAGAGCTGCCTGTTCTCCAAGCCCCACTTCTCCTCTTGTTTTGGAAAAGCCTTCAGAGCTCCAGACACCAACTCCCTCACCAGCTGCTCACCACAGGCACTGGAGCTGTGGCAATTGGGGCAGCCCCATTTCAAGGCTTAATTCCAAAGGTGAATCCATATTTCAGGCCCAACATCCCATGCTTCGCCCCAGCCCAACCATTTCCTGTGCCACAGCCCCACAAACTGCAGCTGGTCAGTGAAAGCAGCTGGGAAAGTGTCATTCTGGAGCAGGGCTGGAGGGGTGAATTAGTGAGAATTCAAACTACATGGGGTATCCTGATTGGGGGAATTGCAGGAGATGCTCAGCCCACACACACAGCATGCTCTTGGTAGCTGCAGCAGTGCCTTGTCTGTGTTCCCAGGGTATCCAGAGGAATTTGCAGCATCCACAGATTCAAGCCCTCACCACACCAGGGTGTGTTGCAGCATCCCCCATCCCTTTGGAGTGAGCCTGTAAAGTGCAGAAAATGCAATAAACTGGGAGCAAAGGGCAGGTCCCAGGCAGGGCTGGAAGGAAACTACATTGAAAAGTGTGCAGGCTCTTCAATTTTCAATGCAGTTGAATAGAGATTAACCTTCCCAGGAAAACACAGCCTTCCCTAAAGAGAGGGATGGGAAAGGATGGCCCCATGCAGATGGCTCCTGCAGATGGCCCACAGCAGACTCATGGCTGGCAGTGGGAGTGAGGGAGAGGCTTTGGGAGGTGGGTTTGGGTTTGTCTCCAAGATAGCTGAATTCCTCTGGCATCACATCCCTTCCTTTGGCCAATTCAGGGAGACTGAGCCAAGCTGCTCACTGTCCCCAAGCACAAGAGGGTGAGGGAGGAGACTACTGGGGACACTTCTCTAGCCCACCACCAGCACTCAAGGCTGCCACAGCACCCTGCAGCTCCTTCATGGAGGATTCAAAATCATATACAAACCCTTCCCCAAATCAGGAATGGATCAGAGGAGGCTGCTTCTGGAAAATTTGCTCCCTTAGCTCCCTCTTTGGGATGCTCAGTCCTTGTCCTTCCACCTGACCCTCTATCCCCTCAGCATCCTCGTGCAGGACTGGAGCAGTTGCATGGCACACCAAGGCTTTCCCACACATTTTTTATCTTTTCAAACTTAATTTGGCCAAGCAGCTGCAGCCTAGCAGGGTGCCAGGACTCCTTAGTCCTCATTCCAGGCACCCCAGGACAGGCTCCAGGCAGGCCCAGCCCTGGGAAGTGTCTCTGTCTTGGCCAACACCAGTGACAGCTCCCAGGGGTGACCAGAGATGGCGTGTGGTGAGTCCCCAGCATCTCCCAGGGCCCAGCCTGCCCCACACTGGAGGCAGAAGGTTTTGGTTGGCAGCTGACACCTCCAAGCTCAGGGCCCAGGCAGGAGCAGTGCTGAGGTCTGAGATCCTGGGATCTCTCCGGGAATCCCCAGAGGGAACTCACACAGGTCCTGGCACAGGAAGAAAGATGTGCAGGGAGAGTTAATAGCTGTGACCTGACAAACTGGTAGAGCTGGAAAATGCAAGAGAGGTTTCATGGAAACAAAGCCTTCTTCAGGCCTGGAACAGAAGCAGAAAATGGCACAGCAGGGGCTGAGAACAGTACTCTGAGCTTAGTACAATTATGCTAATTTGGTGATTAAAAAAGAAGAGTGGAGTTTGTGGGGTGGAGAGGGATGGAAGGGAGATGAAAGTCCACAGGGATGCTGGGTGTTATGCACCAGGCCCTGGTCAATGCTGGGCACAGGCTGTCCCTGTCCCTGTCGCTGTCCCTGTCCCTGTGCCCAGCCTGCCCTCAGATCCTCCTCACCCCAAACTGCTGCAGAGCCAAACTTAGGGGCTCCCCAGAGTGATTCTGCAGCCCCAAAGGCAGCCAGGTATGCTCCTCAAGGTCCCAGGGCTCACATGCCCTTGTCATGGGCTACAGGTGGCTTGGTGGGGCGACCCTGTGTTTTAGATTGAGTGGGGAGAGAAAAACCCACCCCCAAAACTTTTCCCTCTACAAGACTCCCTACTTTTTCAAGGTATAATGCTCTCCAGTCACTGGGTCCCATTTTCATTCCTCTCTGGTGGAAAACGACACTGACTGCCATGGGAAAACAAAGTTTTACAGATTCCAGTTTTATTAGGAACAGAGAAAAAGTGCTGGGGAAAAAGCTCTTTCAGTGGGACTGAATGTCCAGGGGAAGATGCAACAGTCAGCTCTGAGCTCTTCTGGTTGGATCAGGGACTGGGATTTGAGTTTTCCTCTCCATCTCTGCTCTGCTCCTGTGGCCCTGGGCCAGCTGGGATCCCAGCTCTCCCCATGGCAAAGGGAAAGGCACCTGGCTTCCCTCACCCCACAGCTCTGCTCCCCATGTTTTTTTCCCTCCCATGTGACAACAACCTCAGTTTCTGCTCACTGAATTAGAAAGGAACCCTCCAGTACATTTTTTCTGAAAATTCAGCCCAAATAGGGGACTGACAAGGCTATAGGGGACTCACAAGGCTGTTCTCAGGGAGAGAGACTGATGCTGGAGGAGTCAATGGTGTCTCTTTCTGGAGGAACTGGAAGTCAGCCCTGTCTCCTGAGCATAGCCCAGTCCCCACTGTCCTGCAGTTTGCTCCACTGCAGCCTAGAACCCTGAAACAAAGCAAAGCACTAGAATCTTAAAATTACACAAATTTCAAATTAAATTGGACAGTAGGAAAAAAAAATATCATCAAGACAGTATGGAATCCGAAAACATCCCTCCTTGGTTGTAACGTGGTCCCTCCAAGTTACAGGGGCTGTGTGACCTCCTTGCTGCCCAGTCATGCTCAGAGACACCTGAACTGTGCCCAAATATTTCTCAGCTGGAGGCTGGAGCTCCAAAGGGAGGATGGGAGAAAGGTCAGTGGTCATGGGCAGCCTTGCAGTGGGAGGGGGTGAGGTTTATTCCATGACCTCTGCAGATGACTGTAGCATCTTGCCCTGCACAGGGCTGGCACAGGCTGCAGTCCCTGAGGTGAAGGTGAAACATCACCCTGGGACCCCTGTGGGCTCTAGGTGCAGGATCAGACCCCATGGCAGGGCCATGGCACAACCCCCTGTCACCCCTGACTCATCACAGCTCGTCCTGTGTGTCCCCTGGGGTGAAAACCAGGAAGGAATTTTCCCCTCCTGGAGCCTCCCAGGCTCAGGGGCTGCACTTTGGGGAGGAGCAGGGCTCAGGGTGAGCAGGGCACATCCCTCTTGTCCAGCTTCCCTTGGTGGGCCCGAGACCTGTCCCACTGTTCACAGATTCCTCTGGAATCACAACCAGTCAGGGGTGCCCAGGGACAGGACAAGGAGCAATGGCCACAAACTCCAACATCAACATGAGGAAGAACTTCCTCCCTTGGGGGGTGCAGAGCCCTGGAACAGCCATCCAAGGAGGGCCTGGAGTCTCCCTCTCTGGAGACATCCCAAACGCACCTGGACGTATTCCTGTGTCCCCAGGCTCCCAGGTGACCCTGCCTGGGCAGGGGACTGGAATGGCTGATCCCCAGAGGTCCCTTCCAGCCCCTGCACCCTGGGATTCTGTCACTCCCTGTGCTGTGAGGCTGCAGTTGTCACAGAGCTGCTGGCAGTGAGCCAGGCCTGTTCTGCCCATCACCTGAGAAGATTGCACTGGTGTCATCTTTGGGGGATGTCCCTTGTTTGCCATCGTTAGATCTGGAGTGTCACAGCGATGGCATCTGATGAAGAGGCCAATCTGGAGGGAATGGAATGGGAACCTGAAGGACAATGAGGCACCATAGTGGAATTTCCAAAATAAGATTTGTCTTTTAAAAAAAAATTATTTTTTTTTTAATAAATAAAAAGCTAAATTCTAAAGGAAAATAAGCCCTCTGGCAGCTGGTGCCAGGCAGTTCAGACAATGGATATTCCTTTCCTAGGAATATTTCCTTTCCTAGAAAAAGCTGGGCTTGGTTCAGTGTCTGAGCAAGCACCAATTCCAGACCCTTCTACAGAGCTCTCTCTGTACCATCACACACATCTCTCCCCAAAAGCTGAATACATTTTAGGGGGAAGAAGAGCCTGGATCATTCTAGGGCCTGCAGAGCACTATCCCAGGGATGCAGGGAGACCTCCAACTCCTTCCAGAGATTTTAAATGCTGGTGGGACCTCTGAGAGCTATGGCACCACTGCAGTGTTGGGATGGAGCCAAGCAGGAGGGAAAACTCGTTTTCCTGGCCGTGGAGCCCCACGTCTCAGCTCAGGAGGGAAGCCTGGGAAGAAAATGCTGCTCGACCATGGCAGAGCAGGAGGGATGAGCCTCGGGACACAGGGAGGAGGTGAGCCATGGCTGAGGCTGAGGGACCAGCACTGCACAAGGGATGGAGGTGGAGGGTTCACGACTGGGCCCCGGGAGAAGCTGAGGAATGCCATAATTACAGCACACTTGTGGAAACTGGGAGCTCTCCACCACCCAGTAGCCAAAGGAACAGGCTTTGTACTGTGACGAGACACAGGACACTGTTCCCAAGGGAAAAACCAGCCCTGTTGAAACTGGTCTAGCTCCTTAGAGGGTATTAATGAATTCTGCTGATCACACCAGGGAAGCTCTGGGCTCCTCCTAGGGCAGGTGCAGCTCACCTGGGCAGAGCAGAGGAGAAGGGTTTGGCCCTGGAGCTTCCCTGCTCAGGGCACGTCCTGCAGCTTTGCTCCCTTGGCCACAAGCACAGAGCCTTCCCCTGGGGGCTGTGAGTCTGGAACAGCAGATGGGACAGCCTGGAGAATGGAGTGGGTCTGGATAAACATCAGACTGGTTCTCTGGGCATCCCTTCCCTCACAGACTCATCTCTCTGCCTGATTTCATCACCCTCAGCTCTGGGGACCTGCAGCTTGAGCTGTGCTTTGAGGATGAACTCAGAGTGGCCTAAATACCTTTGTTAAGGGAAATCCGGTCTGACAAAGTGACTGTTGTTTGCTGAAGGCATCAATGAGCCTGTGGATAAGGGTGACCTGAGTTTCCAGAAGCAAAGACCTTTAGGTCCAGGAGAGCTCAGAGGAAAAGTCCAAACAGAACTAAATAATCAACCAGCAAAGAGGAAACAATAGTGAGATAACAAACTGCTGATAATTCCTGCGATTTTGTCAGAGCAGAGGGGAAGACTGGTGATGCAGACATTCAGAAAGATCTGGCAGCACTTGGAGTTTGGGGATAAAATGGCAAAGGAGATTTAGAGGGGTATGAAGTGACACACAGGAGAAAAATCTAGCATGATTTCATCTGTGAGATGAGGGGCTCTGGGCTGCTTTACTTCCTTGGGAGTGAAATTTGGGGGTTATTGTGGACATGAAAAGATGTGAGGAACATCAGGGAAAACAGGAGCTCCATGGCAGCAAAGATGTCCAGATATGAGAGGTGACTGCTTTGTGCTGCTGTTCAGCCCAGCAGGACCCATCAAAGATAAAGGAGGAGATTTCCAGCAGTGGGGAATAGGCTTTGGGAACTTCTTGCTGAAGGATATTTTCTCTACTGACCATTTTCCTGGGTTTGAGTGAAACGGGGCAAACCCATGGAGGAGAAACACTGAGGAATCTTGAATAAAGTGAAAACTCTCTTCAGCTCCAAAGGTTTCTGAGCTGCAAATAAAGCCCTGGGAAGGGGCAAGTGTCAGCAAGAGGGCGAGTGTCAGCCAGTCTCATCCTCCACCTAATCCCCAGGCACAAAATGCCCATCTAGAATTTCTTCAACTTAATAACCAGAGGAATTGCCGACTGGGAGGTTTTATATTCCTTTGCTGTGTAGATCCTGGCCAGCGGTGTTCTTTCACTGCCACGTTCAGTCTAATCCTTTGGAAAACCCTGCTAAGTCCTGTGCTCCAGTGCTATCCTTTGGCAATGAGTTTTGTGAGCACCGTGCTTGCTGTGCATTAATCACAGGGCTTTTATTGCTCTAGAGGAGCTGCTCATACTGGACTGCTATATATAGTCTGTCAGCAATTAGCAGGATGCTTGCAAGGTTATTTAAGTAATTTTTCTCCCTTATGCCACAACTAACTGAATTCTCTGTATATATGAAAACACTTGAAAGACGAGTGATTACTGCAAGAAGAAAGAAGGGCAGAGAACGAGCCCTGCTTGGAGCGGGCGGCTTGTTTGACAGGGCTATCTCCCAGAAATGGGATTTTAATCAGGAACCTTTGATTAAAATCATTGCTCAGGTCATGGCACACCCCTGTGGGCTGGAGGCATGCAGAGCCAGCTCAGCCTCACAACCAGTTCCTCGGGCTGGTGCAGGGATGGATCTCACTGGGAGCAGAGATTGTACTCAAGGGGTCCTGGCTGACATCTCCTGCAAGGGACAGTGCCTGAGCAGTGGGAGCACTGAGGTCGTGGCCATGTTGTGGAAAGATCCAGGCTGGGACTCGGCTCTGCTGTGCCTGGGCCCCCCATCCGCCCCATGACAATCCCCATTCCCCCACTAAAGGCAGCGTCCCCGTGGCTTCACTCCTTGGCAGGAAGGGATGCCCTGAGTAAAGGTGGGGGTCTCGGGGCACAGCCTGGGGGAGGATGGGTTTGATGGGCTGGGTCCAGGTGCGGGATGAGCCTGGGCACACAGCTCCCCTCTGGCACAGGGCTTCAGCACACAAAAGTTGGATCCTCCCAGGGGGGTCCCCCTTGACTCCAGCCCCCTCCCCCGAGACTCTGTGAGTGCTCGCTGCTGCACCAAAGCTCATAAGAATGGGGAGACCTTGACACCTGCATCCGAGACATCTAGAAAGGGCTGGAAGGAGCAGGGGACCCTCCCAAGCTCTTTGGAAAGGGCTGGACTGCGCCCAGCCGGAGGTGTTTTAATGACTGTTTTGGATCCTCGGGAGCCAACCTCCTCCCACTCAGCCCGGGGTAATTCACCTCCTCCGCCGGGCTGCACGAGTTGTTGACTGGTGGATTGTGGCTCGTAGAACAGGTTCTCCGCAGGGAGTTGTCTCCGAAACCCTGGGAGACGTGGATGGCCCGAGCCGCGGGTCCCGGCTCGGAGCCTGGCAGCGGGGAGGGCTCTGGGTTTGCGTGGCACTGCTGGGCAGGGCGGCTCTCGCCCCGCGCCGCTGGCACACAAATCACAGCCCTGCCTGTGTCAGGTAGATAAGGAACCATGTGATGCAGCTGGAGGGGAGCGGGTGGCAGGCAGGGTGAAGGTGCACAGGGAAATAACCTTGCAGGGAGTTCCTCCCTCCCTTCTCGGGGACCAGTGTCTGGGCAGCGCTGATCCCGCGGCTCCCACTGCACCTTGGTCTGGATGCCTGCTCGGGTTCTGGGGGCTCTCTGAAACTCCCGGGAAGCAGGAATGTCCTTTAGCAGAAGGAACTGGTCCGATCTCTCCAGGTAAGTGCTGTGGATTAATGCTTAACCCTTTCCACCAGGGAGGGGTGAGGGTGGGCTGCTGGTGGCCGAAGGGGCTCAGGGAGGATGGGAAGAGGGGGCAGCTGTCCTGGGAGTGTTGTTTGTTGTTTGCAGAGGTGAATGCCAGCCCCACGGAGAGCTCGGCGTTCCTGCAGTTTCTTGTGGCTGGGCAAGATCAGAGGCGTTTTTGTTTCTGCTGCCTGGGGAAGCTGAGCTAGGCACAGAAGTATTACCTGGATAAGCATTCTCGCCCCATGCTGGATACATTTTGGGTCTGTTTTGCCTTTCTTTGGGATACAGACTGTCTGGGCTGTGCCTCCAGACTTGCTCTGAGCTGGCTGAGGGCGTTTCCACTCCCCCCGTGCCCCTGCAGCCCCTGGGTGTGTGTCCTGCTCTGCCCTGACGGAGCTGCAGCCCATCGTGTGCTGAGCAAGCCCTGATTCAGCGGCAGCGACTGAGCGATCCCTGAGCGATCCTCACAGCACTGCCAGCTTCCTCGGCCTTCCCAAAGAGTGATCCAGAGTAGGGGAGGCTCCTGGGCATCCTGGGGAGAGTCAGGGGCTCGAACGAGTCTGGAGCAAGGTGGGATCAGCCCTGACCCCCTGCAGACCCCAGGAGAGCCCCGGCAGCCTCGGCTGTGCAGGAGCAGTGATGGAAACTCAAACAGAGCCATGCTGTCTCACAGATCAGAGCAGGAATCCTAGTCCAAGTGGATGTTATGTCTCCAAGACTTAATTGCAAGTCTCAGTACTGGATCTAAGAAAGGAGAGTTCATAGAATCCCAGAATGGTTTGGGTGGGAAGGACCTTAAAGCTCATCCTATTCCAACCCCCGCCATGGGCAGGGACACTTTTCCACTATCCCAGGTTGCTCCAAGTCCTGTCCAGCCTGGCCTTGGACACTTCCAGGGATCCAGGGGCAGCCACAGCTGCTTTGGGCACCCTGTGCCAGGGCCTCACTGCTCTCACTGTGAAAAACTCTTATTTTAGTTGAGACCCCGCTGCTCAGAGGCCACCAGCTCTCAGCTGCCTCTGCCATGGGTGGGGCAGATCCAGAGGCCATTCCAGTCCTGTCCAGATCCATCTCTGAGCCACGGACCTACCCCCACACCAGCCCAGCTGGGTCCTGCACCCCGTGTGCTTCACAACCCCCCGGAAGGCATTTCCTGAGCTCTCCTGAGATGAGGCAGCACTGAAACAACAGAAATGTCAGAAATCTCTGACTAATCATTGACAGGGCAAGAGAGGACAAGGCAGGGACACTCGCCAAAGTTTTTTACTCATCTCTTTGAGTTAAAAAAGGTAAGATAGCGAAAAATAAATCCCTCTTGGAAAAGAGGAGGGAAAGATTGGCAGAGCAAATCCATAGCCTGATGGGTGGATCGCTTAATTACACATAACGAGAAGCTGCCTGTGTATAGTGCCAGGTTTTTGTTACCTCAGAAGGAGCTACGGTAATTCAAGGCAGGAAAATCCCATTTCACTTCGAAGGAGACTGTCCGTGTAAAATAAAAGTCGTCATGAGGACTTAGCCCAGCATTAGTGCTCTGTGCTGTCACTGCTTGAGAGACAGGAGTGCAGAGGCACCGGGATCTGTGTCCTTCCCACCCGGGACCCTGCCGGCTGTGAATGTGCGTGCAGGGAAAGCGCCGGGGCTGTGCAAACACGGGCACGGAGCGGGGCTGTCCCACCTGGGGATGCTCCCCGGGCACATCCCAGCCTTCGCCAGCCCCGTCCCTCCCAGTGGCATCGGAGACCGCCTGGAGCTGCCCAGCCGTGGGTCCGATTGCTGTCGGGGCTGTTCGGCTGTGGGGTCAGCGGGAGGGGAGGGCAGCACAGCCCGGCTGTGTCCCTGTCCCCAGCCCTGAGCTCTCAGCCCGCTCCTGTGTCCCCGTCGCGCTCCGCTGGCCCGAGCAGGAAGAACAGAAGCCGCAAATGCTCGCGGGGGGTAAAGCGGATTAATTTATGACCGGCTGTGATTACTCAGTAACTCGGAACCAGCCGCGAGTCCCCGCGGCCACGCTCGCTGTAACGCGGCCCTGCCCCTCTGACTTTCGCTAAAAGTCAAATTCATGGCAAAGCCTGAGCCTGGGTGACGGAGCTGGACCCTGCGCAGGGAGGCTCTGTTGGGGTGCCGGGAGTTCCGTCGGGTTCCCTGCAGTGTTTGTGGCTGATTGAGGGTTCGTGTTGGGGGAGATGAACCTGGCTCTGAAAAGCTCCATCCAGCCAATAAAAATATTTTCCAACACAGTTCATGCACCAGCACAGAGGGTGGGCAGGTTTGGCACAGAGAAAGGATGGCAGAGCTGGTGTTTTCCTTCCAGACAACTTTTCATTCTGAGTGGTGTTTTATTGAAAAAAAAAACACAAAAAACAGACAAAATACCCAACCACCCTGCTCCAACAACTCGCATTTGGCTTGTGCAAAATAAAATGCTCGAAGATGATTCCAGACCTTGTCTTTTTGGCTCAGTCTGTGATTATAAACAGTTCTTAGTCTGGGCACGTGCAGAGGGGGAAGAGGAGCCCTGCCAGCCCCATCCCCAGGCAGAGCCTCTCAGCAGTTGCCTCCAGCCTCTGATACTTGTGCATCTGAGGCTTTTTGCTCTACAAAAATTAAATTGCCATCACCACAAATTGGTTTTGGCCTAAAATCTTGTGCCATAGTGGTTACCCTTCCAGTTTGTGTGGTTGAGGTCTGTGTGGTAGCTCCAGGGTCCTGGTCTGGCTGAGTTACAGGTTCAATATTCTTCCCCTGGAAGGTTTGCTTAATATAGGGATTCCTTTGAAATGAGTGCTCCCTCCACCAGGAGAAAATAGGAGTTGGGAAGTCAAGTGCTTGCTTTCGGACTGGCCTGCATCAGCTGGGTGGAGTAAGAGCACTTTGGGATGCTTGGCTCGTGCTGGCTTTGCTCTCCTCCAGCACGATGACTTTTGTCAGCCCCTTGGCCTTGCCCAGGGTGTAGCAGTTCCTTTCTTGTCTGGCACCAGGGCTTCAGGGTGCCCATGCAGCACACAGCCTCCCCATGTCCTTGTGTTTGCTCCCAAACAGCCTGGCCAGGCAGAGGACCCTGGAGGATGAGGAGGAGCAGCAAAGAGAGCGCCGGCGAAGGCACCGGAACCTGCTGTCATCCACATCCACGGATGAGGAACCTGCCAGCCCTGTCAAAGACACCAGCCCAGCTTCCAGCAGGTCTGTGGGGTCCTGACCTTGCTCCTGACACCGAGCCCTGGCACCTGCTGCTGTGGGAGGGCTCAGCTGTGGGAAGAGCTGTGCTCCAACCAACAGCCCTTGGGAGGAGGGATGGGCTCCCCAGGAGGAGCACAAGGCAGGGTGGGCTCCCCATGGCACAGGAGCAGGAGTGCTGGGGGAGGGCTGGTGCCAGGGCTGAGCTCAGGTGGGATCTGCAGCAGGGAAGGGGTGCCTGCTCTGCAGGACAGGAGAGCAGAGTGGGCAGAGCCTGGCTGGCTGTGCTGCCCCTCTGAACCTCACAGTGACGCTGTGGGACCTTTGCTGAATTGGGGGTTTGACCCAAGGGCTTTCCAGTGGTCTTCCAAAGTCCTTGGCTGCAGGGAGCCGGGATTTGAAGGTGCTGTGGGACCAGGCTGCCCTTACATAACTTGACCCACTCTCTAAATTGATCCTGGAAGTGTCCAGTATTTAGATGGTTTGTGTCCACAGTGAGACTCCCACTCCAGAGGTGTTTCTGTGTTTCAGACGGGATGGAGTTAAGACATTTGGATTGGATATGGGGTGGATGGGGCTGGACATGACTAAAATGAACCAGGTGGGAAGGTCAAGTTCCTCTTCCCTGGTGCTGACAGGCTGGCCATGTGGTGACTGCAATTCAGGAGGAGGGCAAATGTTATCCCATCTCCTTCCCAGTCCTGGGAGTGTGCAGACACAGCCTGCCAGTTGTCCGTCTTCCCAGACCTTGTGCCTGCTTGCCCAGGGGAAGGAGAGGAAACAGCTTTTCACAGGTTATGTTGGGACTCTGGGTGGATCTGCCAGAGCAGACTGAGTTGCAACCGACACTTCCCACTTAAAGTTGCTGGGATTTTCCTAGTCCAGTGAAGAGTCACTGCCACACTTCTTATCCAGCAGCAGACCCAGAACACTACTCTGAGCCTGGATCTCCTTGGCACAGGACTTGGTGGGTGCTGGTGTCCTGGGACAAGGCTGCAGAAATGCTTCATCTCTACTACAAAAAGGAAAAAAATAATTTTACTAAACTTTTTTCTCAGACAGCTGAGCTGGGATGATGGGGATGAGAGTGGCTGCAGGCTCTGGTCTACAGGGAAGAATCCAAGGATGTTGGTGGGATTTTTATATCCCTCTCCAGAGCCTTTTGCTTCACTTGCAGCATGAAATCCAGCCCTCTAGCCCCAGATGTTAAGGTTGTCATCCCATGTTGTTCCTGTCCCTAGACCTCCATCCCTGGTGAAGCTGCAGTCTCCGGAGGATGGGGAGGAGCGAAAGCTCTCGGAGGTGCTGAAGACACAAGAAGGGAGAAGGACGAAGGGGAAGTGCCTCCCGCCCGTGTCTGAAAAGCTGAGGCAGGAGAAGGAGCAGAAGGAGCCAGAGGTGGGAGAAAGCTGCCCGGAGAGAGGGCCACAGCCTTGTGAAAGGCAGGAGAGCAGCCGAGCTGCAGAGCGGGCTCAGGAGGCAGCCAAGGGCAGAGGGGATCCACCAGGAGACAAGAACCTGGAGCCAGCCTCTGAGAGGAAGGTGGTGGTGAGGGCACGGCTCCAGGACAAGGACCAAGGAGTGTGGAGTCCTCGGGGGGAGCAGAGAAAGGAGGCGAAGGAGCCGCCAGAGGTGGGGAGCTGCCGGCTCCGGGAGGTGAAGATCCTCACCAGGGTGGGAAAGGAAGAGAAAACCTCAGCAGTGACCTCCTCTCCAGAGCAGCAGGTGAGCAGGAATGCATGGGGCACCAGGCCTTGGGGGGAGAGGTCCTGGGTGCTGGGAGGACTAGAGAGAGGGACAGCCCAAAAGTACCAGGAGGGAAATGGGACCCAAAGGATTTTGGAGAAGGTTTTTCTGAGAGCTGCAAACCATGAGGTGGTGGACAGGACTCCTTCCCCTCCCTGGTCTGTGCTGTTTTGATCACTTTCTCCAGCAAGTCCCTCTGATTGCGATCATGGTGACACTGAAGGGCTGTTTGGGACTCTGTATGTCCAGCTGGGACAGGAAAAGTTTGGAGGATTTTGATCTCAAACTCTGGCCTCCAACCCAGTTCCCGCCCTGACTGCTCAGCTCCTGCACCTCTTCTCTGCAGGGATGCATCTAAAGTCTCCTTTTTCCTCAGCAGCCATCCAGGAACCCCTCAAAGCAGGAAATCCAGCTGTCCCCTCCCCAGGATGAACCTGCAGAAGAGCCAGACCCTTCTCCAACTCACGTCACCTTCAGCAGCTCCATCCGACGGGCCAGCCCAAGAACCGTCTCATTTCGGGTAAGAGCTAAAGCAGGTGGGGAAGGATTCCATGGAGGCAGTGGTGGATGGGGGAAGGAAGGATTGCTTTGGCTTCTGGATTATGTGAACAGAACCTGTTCCTAGAAATCTTTTTAAAATTTACCCTTGATCTGGGCACTGCAGTCCTGCTTTCCTCTTCTCCCTCTCTTCCTTCTCCATGTCGGACTGAAGGCTTGTGAGGATGAACATGTCCAGTTCATCCACCTTGTGCTGGACAAATAACTCAGGGGAAGTGATAATAAAATGAGGGAGTTCATTGTCCTCAGAATTTTCAGAGCTACAGGAATTACCATCCACTTTCCAGCCTTTCCAGTCTTATGTGAAAGCACAGGATAAAAATAACATCCATCCTCCCTCTCATCCCATGTTACAGTCTGAGAATATATTTAATTTCAAAAGAGATCTCTGGAATAAAGTAATTGAAGAGGCTGGGAAAACCAAGAACAAATCAAGATCATCACTGCTGTGAGTCAGGGCTGACTAGCTACACTTGATTGACTTCCATGAGGCTTTATTGGGAATAAAACTGTTATCACTGTGAAGTGTCTATAGTCTGGGAAACTTTGAGATATGAGATAAGCTCTGGTGTGGGTGCAAATGGAGCTTTGCTGGGGGAGATCAGTGAGATAGTGTCTCCCATGCTTATCTTGGATAACCAAAAGTTCCCTGCGGACCTCCTCTCCTTGTGTCTTCTAGATCATCTCCAAGAAGCAGAAAGAGAGCCAAAGCCCTCTCACAAGGAGGTCAGTACCTCTCATCGTATTGCTTTGGTCCTGCTGGGCAGGAATTGCCATCCTTTGTTTTCCAAGGGAGGAGGAGGTGATGGGGCCTGACAGGCCTGGCACAGATCTGCTGGACATTGGTCCCCAGGGTGCTGAACTGGGCGGGCAGTGATGCTTGGCAGGGGACAGGACAATGTCCAACGTGCAGCTTGCATCTGAATGAGATCCTGGAATCACAGAACAGTTTGGGTTCCACGGGACCCTAAAGATCACATTCCAACCCCTGCCATGGGCAGGAACATCCTCCACTCTCCCAGGTTGCTCCAATATCCCCCCAGCAAGCCCCCACTGTCTCCTGAGTCATGTAGTTCCATGTTGGTGCTTGTGTCTGCACAGGTCCAATCAATGGGGACATCAAATCAGGTCCATGAGCAACCTCACCTGGCTTTGGTGACCAGATCAAGGGATCCTACACCCCTCTGTGGTTTAGGTGCATGCTGTAGGCAGAGCCACACTGACACTGGGGGTGACCCAGTTCAGAGCTGGCAGAGCTGAACCCAGGGCAGGCTGAGGAGCTCCGAGAAATTTCAGTGCTCAGTGTGGCCCTGGAAAGGTGGTGACACCCAGAGATCTCGGTCACCAGCAGGAAATGGACTGCTTGGCTCACCTGGCAGATAAATGCAGGAGTGCCTGGGTGGGACAGGGCCTTCTCCTGCCAAGTGCAGCTCCCCTGCACCATGGGCTGAGTCCCAGGAGATCCCGAGGGGGCTGGTTTCAACTCTTCCCTCTTCTTCACCAGTGCGAGTCTGAGGATCCCAGGCAGCAACAGCACCATTGGGGAGAAGCTGGAAAAGTACAACTCGGCTGTGCAGGTACCAAAGGCCCTTGGCAGAGCCA